TTAATTTTGTCTGTTAAGACCTCGACTACCATACTAACTCCACCATAGCCATATACCTAGAGCATAGAAAAATAAATCGTTAAAATGAACAAGATACTGAGGTAGTGAAGTTGTGTTAAGTTCGGTAACCACATACTTGGCCAGGTTAGAATGATAATCTAAAACCAGTTCATGGGTTTTAAATTACCACGCCTTTTCCCAACCTTACTAGGATAATTCACCATAACGGTCTCACTTGCAAACATATAACTAGAATTAATGCTGATCTAACCTCGTATATCTTCTCTATAAAAGCTTCCTGCCCTTTCTCAGAAGCCCTTTTTATATTACGCTCCACAATGTCCTTAGGTACATCCAGTTCCTTAGCTTTGTCAAGTATAGTAGCTAGAGTGGTATTCGAAACTGGGTTTGGACCCCCTTTCTTGACACTGCATGATGATAAACCCACACATGATTCCTATTGTCATAAGCATAGGTCCACAACAAAGTAAGAAATTGAACTTAACAATCTCAACAGCCTCTATATCTACCACTACTGTGCAAGTTCGTTATCTACAACCTAATAACGAACAAAAAAGATACAAAATTGGTAAAAGTGTTGAAAACTTACGCAGATACAACCTCCTTGCCAATTCTACAGTATAGCTTCGCCTTCTTTGAATCTTGAGCCCCCTGTATTCACTAGAAACTTCAATCTGAGAGTTCTTAACTACAATATTGTACTGTAATATGTGATTTTCATTTACAAAAGCACCCACAAGTTTCAAGAGAACATTGGGTATTTACATTCTGATTTTGATACTACACTAGCAAGAGACACTTTGACAATATGCTTCACAATATAAACATATGATGATTCAAGATTGACATAAACCTGCAAGTTTTAATTTTTCCAATGACATGATTCTTGTTCATATAAACCCATCAACAAAACCTACTCATTCTCTTAGGCATTTCATCAAACACATGGTTGGCATGAACAATTACGAGCTCTACCCTCATCAAAACCACTCAATTGTTAACTCTTACTAACAACAGTGACGCAACACTTCTAAATCATTCAAATTCGTACTAAATTTTACCATAATCATAAAAGCTAAGAACCTCACAACTCAAAACCATAACGAACCTTTCGACCAGCGATTTTGGAAGAGCGACGACCCATACATAAAGGAGTCGAAATCGAAATCTTTCTAACTTGAAGCTTGCGAGAGTTCAGGTCATCTGATTGATGACGTGAAGCCGTGAAATGCGAAGTAGTGTGAGGCGAGATTGAGGAAAGAGATGAGAAAGAGTTGGTCATAGAAAGAAGAAGACGATGGTTAGTGGAGTTGAGAATGGATCTTGAAGAGACGCCATTGGAGAATCTGAGAAGGATTGCTCTCATGGAGCAATGGGAGGCCATAGTCTTTGAGTGTGGATGGATTGAGAAGAGAGGGGAGTGAGGTAGCTAATCCAATTTTCTTATATTCTGAGCTCTCATTATAACTTTTATTTTAGTCTATTTTTCTTTTTTACATTTTGTTACTAAATAATTAATTTTAAAATAAAAGTATTACATTTTATGAGTTAACTCAAAAATGATTTTTTTATTTTATTTTTCTACAAACTAATTATATGAACAAAACAATTGATAAATTCTATCTGTGATAAAAAAAAAATTTAAAAATTGTTTGACACTACTCTCTATTTAAAAAAATTCCACCTAGCTCCGGTTATTCCTTGTATAATTTCTAAACCCACCTTATCCGTTTCGATTAATGACTAATCTCTGCCTATCTTTTTTATTCGTAATTAAACATTTAGATTGAAAATTTTATGATATTTTACAATAATTTATGTTCAAAATTTTATGAAAATCATAAATTTGGTTAATAAGTTTTCATTTATTAACTACCATTTTGAAACCAGTATTATAGTTTTTTATGTTATATTATATTTTTCCATTAACATAAATAAAACTATACATATATTAATACTAGATAATTATTATTTTTTATTAATTAAATAAAATAACCCTAAAACTAGTTCCCGATTAATGGCGTTAGGTCCAATGAATCTGTAAAGAAAATACAACATTGGCTTGGTCGTTCAGGAGGCTCAAGCGAGGGAGTAAGGAAGTACTAGTAATGGCCGAGAACGAACAATTGGAATGATTCTCCGACAGACGGAACATGGTACCAAGGCAAGGCTATCAACCATAACCATTCTATTGGCCAAGAAACCTTCAGGTATCTTCCCTAAGTTAGTTTTAGACTAAACCTTATAGTTTGGTCGAGAGGAAAGTAGAAGTTATCGAGAGAAAAATAGGTTTGGTCGAGAATGTGCGATAGGATGCTGAAACCGGACGTTGGACAGCCAACGCTCTCGGTAGCCGGACGAAGGATTCATTGCCAGTGCAGATTGTTCTCGATGATCTTCACGAGAAAGTGTTCAGTAAGTCTGTTTCTCTAAGCCGACATTAGACGGAAAGGAAGGGTCGACCGTCGACCGATGATCGATGGCCGGTAATGGCGATACTCACGTGTACCGACGGTCATGATGCAATATCGGCCGGTGAAGGAAACGGACGGTCCGAATCGATTCTTGGGCAATGTTTATCCGTTAGGGCGCTTACCTTATCCATTTCAGGCGATAGTTATCCAAAACCCTTGTTTTTATCTGTTAGCGAGGTGTCGCTGTTTGGAGCCGTCTTAGTGTCCGACGATGTGTCGCAATACTACAGGCTCACTAAGTAATGCTAGATTACTTATGTTCCTACTTTAATTGTACAGGTTTTCTTAGCCGAATATTCTCGTAGTGAAGCAAGTGACCTAGACGAATCAAAGTAGGTTTTAAAGCCTTTATAAATTCATACTAATTATACTATGTATGATTTTTAAGAAAAAGGATCTGACTCGTAACGCTTTCGGTAACCATTTATTCATATACTATATATGTACAAAGACTCGAATTTTCCAAAAGCTTAAATGGTTGGTCCAACTGATATTAAGTCTTGTCTGAACTTAACACAAATCTCGTTCGCGGTACGGGTTGCAAAGCCTTAGGCCGTGTCCGGGAGGTCGGGCACTCGTGGTTGAACGACATTGGTGAACAAATTCGTTTCGGCAACCTTGGTCGACCGACTACGGGGTCCTAAGTAGCACTCCCTATTCGTTCTTAGTGCTAGGACGGGTATTGGGTGTTACAAGAGTGGTATCACAGTATGGTTACACGATACTATGGGAAACCATGTTTTTAATGTTTTATCGAGTAAATGCGTCGCAAGGGCTGTCTAGGAGATTGATTCGGTCATTTGAAAAACCTTATTTTAATGGGATTTAGGATCTTATGATCTGTTTGTATTGTAGTATGCCACCGAAAAGAGGTAGGGGACGTGGTCGTGGACATGGCCGAGGTAGGTTTGGGAGAGGGGGTAGGATGTCGGGTCTCCCACCCCCATGATATGAGTACCGTGAGATTGTGAGAGGGGAGTCATCAAGGAGTGCTACTGAGCGTGAATCCAAGTCTTGTCCAAATACTCCGAAAGAACGACTCAAGAAAATTGCCCGAGAGACCAATATTAACGAGAAACGCACTTATGAGGGAGGGACCAAGGAAAATTCGGACGATTGTGTTTGTGTGGAGCCGAAACCAGAAGAGAAGGAAGTCTTCATGGTCGAAGATTATATCAGTATTTCATCGGGTTCGTTTAACTCATTTCGAACCTTTGGAGGTCCGTCAAGCATCATCGATATATTCTCTGACGGTTCTGGTACTCCATCGGTTGCGTTGTGCCCAACATACCCGTTCTCTTCGTTGGTGAATGCCAACGAACTTGAAGAAGTGGAGAATTTTGAAGAAGATCCAAAAGAACCAACCGAACCCATTATAGACCTTGGGGAGTTTACTATACCATCTCCAAACAGTCCACTTACGATGATATGGAGAGAAAACTCGCCGGTCCTCAACCTCGGTCCAGACATGTTGGCCGATACTTTCCCGATGAGTGAGTTAGGTAGCATATCCGGCACCCAGATGTCGTACTGTTTTATATATGGGCGTACTGGATACTATCCTCGAGAGTGTCAATATTACAGTCCATATGCTCCATCATACAACATTTGTTTGCTTTGTGGAGAGATCGGGCACTACGCCAGCTCGTGTCCGACAGTGAAGCCGCCTACTCCTATTCGCCTCCCAACTCCCCCTCCATCCCCATCTCACGCTACCAGTCCTTCATCCTCCCAGCCACTATTAACCCCCTTCCGTTTCATTTCAGGTTGTCTGTGCATAAGGTGTAAATATAGGCTTCCTTGATAGGGAACCCCAACCTTAGTAGGAAATAGGCACTAACCCTATTTTTTGGCTTAGAGAAACAGACTTACTGAACACTTTCTCGTGCAGATCATCGAGAACAATCTGCACTGGCAATGAATCCTTCGTCCGGCTACCGAGAGCGTTGGCTGTCCAACGTCCGGTTTCAGCATCCTATCGCACATTCTCGACCAAACCTATTTTCTCTCGATAACTTCTACTTTCCTCTCGACCAAACCATAAGGTTTAGTCTGAAACTAAATTAGGGACTTTACCTAAAGGTTTCTTGGCCAATAGAATGGTTATGGTCGAAAACCTTGCTTTGGTACCATGTTCCGTCTGTCGGAGAATCATTCTGATCGTTCGTTCTCGGCCATTACTAGTACTTCTTTACTCTCTCGCTTAAGCCTCCTGAACGACCAAGTCAATGTTGTATTTTTTCTACAGATTTATTAGATTTTGCCGGCTGGTCGTATTGCACGTAAGTACATCCGAGTACTAGTTTCGGTGAGGGACATTACATTCTCCTCGACCGCCTAGCCAATTCTTAATCAAAGACAGTACTTAACGAATTGATTAATTTTTGACTAAAAAGTAAAAACTAAAATCAGTAAATGAGTAAACTGCATTTGCTTGGAAAGGTTACAATTGTGGTTTTGACTTTGAAGATATATGTTGTTGTTAAGCCGCGTGACCCTCACGGACTCAATCTTCACAAAAACCCAATCTTCCTCTCTACCTTCTGAGTGAGACGGTGAGTGAGAGAGAAGAAGAAGAACGAGAATGGGGCACGCCACGACTCTCTCACAATTTCTCATCCTCTCTACCTTCTCTCGTCTCGGGTCTCGTACTAGTAGATTCCTCACAAAACCCACCTCTCTCTCCGGCTCTTTTTCTCCCATTCAGGTCACCGGACAAGGGTTCCGATGCTGTTGCTCTGCCGCCGCCGCTACAGATGACACTTCTCCTTCTGTAAAGTATTAAAAATCTTGCCTTTACCTTCTTCTAGTTTCAATTTCCTTACTTTTGCATTCTCTGTTGAGTTTTTGATTCTCCTGGTTGCAGGAAACGTGTGGTCTCTGGTGTTCAGCCTACAGGATCAATTCACTTAGGAAATTATCTTGGCGCTATCAAAAATTGGGTCGCTCTTCAGGTTCTTTCTCTTTTCTAGTCAGTCTATAAGCATTAGCGTTTGCAACATTCATCAAATTTAGATGCTTTGTTCTAAAGTTGAAGACTTTTAAGAAATGTATTCAGTTTGATGTAAGGTTAAGATCTTTGTAAGGTAATGACTTCCTGAGTCACCAATGTATGAGACATTTGCAAATCTAATCACTTTTTTAGTTGGTTTGTTGTAAAGTTAAAGACTTTAGGAAAAAGGTTTTAGTTTTTATGTTTTCTGGTTGCTACAAAATTTATCTTTCTTTCTTTCTTTTTCAGGCGTTTTGTGTTTATGTGTTTGCAGGATACATATGAGACACTCTTTTTCATCGTAGACCTTCACGCGGTATGAGTTATCTACCTTCTAATTTCGGGTAATAGTTCTCTTGCAGTCTTTATTTATATCTTTCTTGATCTATGTAGATAACTCTTCCATATGATGCACAACAACTAGGAAAGGCAACTAGGGATACTGCAGCACTATATCTAGCATGTGGTATTGATGCTTCTAAGGCTTCAGTATTTGTGCAATCTCACGTAAGCGCTCATTCGGAGTTGATGTGGCGTTTATGTGCATCAACACCTATTGGTTGGCTACAGAAAATGATTCAATTCAAAGAGAAATCTCGCAAAGAGGTGAGTATATGGTTGCTTCATGGTCTTAAACGTATTCTATTTCATCATTATGCGCTTCAAATAAATAAAGCGGGTCTCTGCCTAACACTTTATGAGGTTTGTTGCTGATTTCTTAATATTACTAGTTAATCAACATATGTAATTTTTTCCTGTATTGAGTATAAGAACAGGTAACACATAGTCAACTTAGTCTTTTTGCTGTGTCTAGGATGTGACTATATACATATAGGGTTCTGTTTCTGATTCCATTTTTCATCCTTTTTGGCAGGGGGGTGAGAACGCTAGTGCCGCTTTGTTAATTTATCCTGATCTGATGGCTGCAGATATCCTACTGTATCAGGTGATGCTTTAAAATAGTGAGTGTGATCTAAATTTTAAAATGAAGAAGGAAGACTGGTAAAATGACCTTATATAGCTAAGCTCATGCCAGAGTTTTTCGGCCAACCATCTTTGGGATTGTTTTGTTTTTCAGTTAAGAAGTGCATGTAAATACATGCTTGCTTATTGCATGTGAGACAACCCATTTGTGATTTGCATCATTCTTATACTCTGCCACATCCCTCTGCAGGCGGATTTTGTCCCTGTTGGTGAGGACCAGAAGCAACACCTAGAGCTTGCCCGCGAAATTGCACAGCGTATGAATAATTTATATGGTGGAAGGAAGTGGAAGAAGCTAGGAGGGTATAAAATATTTCTCTGTGCAGTTAGTATGTTGACTTTACCATTTAAACAAGTCCTTACGATCTATGCTTTTCATGTTTTCTAATGGCTGGATTTCCTCTTCATTTGTATTTATTTCCCATTTGACATTGTCGGATTTCATTTCCAGGCGTGGTGGCTCGCTCTTTAAGGTGAGACTTTCCAAATGCTTCTCCTATTATCATTGTGTGGCTTTGTGGGTTTATCACTGATGGTTAATCATTCTTCAAATTTATATTGTTTGTAGATACCAGAACCACTCATACCACAAGCTGGAGCCCGTGTAATGTCTCTTACTGATGGTCTTTCCAAGGTAGAATGTTTCCTTTCACAGCTACTTTTATGTCATTTATCTTTCTTTCTGCACTCAGCAGTTGGTCGCCATAGGTCTTAAGTAAACAAAATTTTGAGAAGATGAATAGAGTTCATGAATCCTATTAGAAATATATTGAGGTTAACCCTTTGTATTCTTTAACATCTAAGAGACTTTTACTACTAGCTAGCCTGTTTCTTTTTAGTTTCTAGAGAAGTTATAAGGATTTACACGCTTCTGAGATTTGCCTTCCTAACTGGTCTAAATAGATCTTGTCGACTTCAGAAGATCATATGAACAATACAATTTTTGGGCTTTGCTTATAAAATTTCCTACTTGTTACTGAGGTCTTACTGCCATGTAATTTTGTAGATGTCCAAGTCTGCACCTTCTGACCAGTCCAGGATCAATCTCCTTGACTCAAAAGACGTAAGTAAAATGAACTCACTGATGTTTGTAAATCTTTTGAAATAGCAGTTTCTCATTGAGCATGAATATGATACACTGCTCACCATTTCCATGAATGTTATGACGTTCAATTTTCTTAATTTTTCTTCGTGACAACCGCTGCAACAATTTACAATGCCATACAACGCACATCATATTGTTCATGTGTCATATGTTCTTAGGGCTCATAGAATTATACTTGCCTGGTGATTCATAATGTATACAACGCACTTTGTTGAATTCTGCTTCATGTTGGTTGTATGTGATCAATCTTCTGCTACTAAATCCATTTCTCATCCCTCCTTTTGAAAACTGTGTAGTTGATTGCAGACAAGATAAAACGGTGCAAGACAGACTCATTTGCAGGGTGAGTACTAGTTTTGTCGTTTGAAATTTCCTCGCAATGCAAAGTTTGTTTCTTTCTTTTTTCTTGTTAAATTAGATATCTATATTAAAAAAGTTTATGTTTCTTGCCGTTCTAACAGCCTTGAGTTTGACAATGCTGAGAGACCTGAATGCAACAATCTCCTCTCAGTATATCAGATTGTTTCGGGCAAGACGAAAGAGGTATGGAGAAAGAGATAATGGTTTGCCTCTAAAGATTTGGGTCACGGATATGTTTTCAAATGTCATTTACTCCCTTGGCCACAATAACTACTCGCTCAGATAATCAGTGAACACATTTTTAATGGGCTGTAGAAAGTGAAGGAGGAATGCAAAGATTTGAGCTGGGGCACATTTAAACCTCTCCTTGCAGATGCTTTGATAGAACATCTTAGTCCAATCCAGGTCTGTAAAGTCAAAATCTTTAACCAATACAGTGTTTTCCTTCGAGTTTGTACCATATTCTCATCATATCGTAGAAAAGAAGTCTATAAGTAAATGGTTAGAAGAGCATCTCATATGCAGTAGGTATTAAATATTTGGTTTTGTATATGTTTCCATGTCAGGCTCGTTATCAGGAGATAATAGCAGAACCAGAGTATTTGGACAAAGTACTGTCAGAAGGTGCGGACAGAGCCACGGAGCTAGGGGATATTACAATGCGCAATGTGAACCAAGCTATGGGATTCTACCCGAGGAGATAGTGCCAATTTGATGATATTTGTGGTCGGCCGTTTTTGAAGTATCAAGAAAAAGATTAGAGTTACACTTTGCGAAATATTTATTGATTCTTGAGTTATGATTATTATCATTTTTTGCAATTACTATAATCTCTCACAATTTATCAATATAACTCTATGATTAAGCTCAACATTTGCTCATAACAAATAGGTGCACTCAAAAAAAAAGTATGATGTGAAATAAATAAAGATACGAAGTGGAGTATTGATGTGAAGTATGGTGAGAGGTAAAATATTGATGTGAAGTATGGTGTGAAGAAAAGTATCGATGTGAACTATGGTGTGAAGTAAAGTATTGATATGAAGTATGGTGTGAAGCAAAATATTGATGTAGAATAAAAGTGTAATAAGTAGTATGAAGACTTGATGAGTGGTGTGTGTAAAAATGTGTGAAAGGAATATGCTATGTAATATTCCTTAAGCCATGTACTATAAATATCTAGTTTGGTGAGGGTTGTTCACCATAAGCTAAAGAGTCAAAAATTCTAAGAGTCCTTTGTATTCTCTTGAGAGCTTTCTTGTATAATAAAAGCTTTCTCTTATATAAAATATATTATCTTCTATAAACACTTAATCTTTTTCATATACTTGATTCATACATCTCGATCCTATAAAACCTCTTACGTGGATGTCCAAGTCACCAAATTACAAACACATACTACTTATTATACATTTATTCTACATGAATACTTTACTTTACAGCATACTTCACATCAATACTTTATTTCACAGTCACACCATACTTCACATAAATACTTTACTTCACACCATACTTCACATCAAATACTTTACTTTACACCATACTTGACATTAATACTTCACTTCATGTTTTTATTTATTTCGCATCATACTTTATTTTTCCTCTACTATGTATACATATCCACTTTGCTTTTAGGCTTTGTTACAGAATCAACACCAACGTATTTGTTCATCATTTAGTGATCAGTTTAATTACCATAATCAGTTACTTGCATAAACCAGAGAAAGGGCATATAATTTGGCGACTAGGGTTGGGTCCAACGCGTCTCTTAAGTCATTATAAGTCCATGTTAACCTCACGCAGAATGGATTACTTAATATCGAGCAGCGATTAGAAAGTAAGAGAAAATGTTATGCATAGAATCATATCACATTTGAAAGATCCCAAAGGTCAATACAGAAACAAAGACCTGAATAGGCAGACAGATACATATAATTCAGTTGCCTTGTTCTATGGTGATCTCACTGGCGCTTCTTCTTTGAAATCTTGTATCTTTCAGATAAAATCACAGCTCCACATACCCGGAGAATCGTATCGAACAATGCATGTCTTTCGCATCCCCCAAACTCGTTATTTAAAGCTCAATCTTCCCAGAGTTTTGTGATACTCACAATCCCACCAAGAAGTAGCCAACAAACAATACCAATTAAAAGTTGTTATCTTTTTTTTCTTTTTCAGTGTTTTTAGAACTTTTTTTAAGCGTTTTAGTTTTCATAATTAGGTGCACTTACCAATAGTGTCACTGTAGTCCAAAGCAAACACTAGGTTGCTCTGATTCTTGTTATTTATTTTTTGTGTTTTTTACTTCTTTTTTTTTACTTCCCGTTGTCAATTTGCTAAGACCTCGCTCACACGATGGACTTCACGCTTAACCTCCTGCTGCTATAAGAAGTACCAAGAAAACCAAAACAAGAGTATAAAGAGATCATGATATGCATAAAGTACTAATGGGTTGCAAAAACACATGCCTCATCGTTGCATTCTGCAAAGATTCTGACCTAGCTCCGGCTTCCAGCTTCCCCATCCCGCTGAACAAAGGATTTGACTAGGGCACAATAAAATTTACAAGGAGAAGAAGTCAGAAGTAATCTGGAAAGAGAAAAGAACCTAATTTCAAAAGACTATAATGTATGCAATAATACAGAATAAAGCACGGCAATGCAGTGCAGGACGGACCTGTCAATGAAAATTAACCGAACTATTTCAGAAAATGATAGAAACCATAAAAATTGATCACTTAAGACTTATGTAGCGCATCATTCAAATATAAGCTTCTTATATCTCATATTTCTCGTTTCAAAAAATAAAGCACAAGATCACCCTTCAAAATGTCATGCAGTGGGTGTGACACTGACAAGTCACAAACTAACTATAAATCTAAAGCGTTGGCATCATGAAAAATAAATCTCAAACCAGCTAACAAACACAAACAAACAAAAAGCTACAGACACATAAACTTAATGCTAAAAGGGATGAGTTAGAATGTAAAACCTGAAGTTCTTCTGGCAAGCTACTTATGAACAATCCGTCTGAATGCAAGTTTCTTTGTTCCACAGCTGGATCCAAATTTTCAGGAGTAAAAAAACCCTGTAACAACCAAAAATCACAAGATATTTTTGAAAAGTTGTTACAATTCATATACCATAATCATCAAACACAAAAAACTCACCTCATGATCAAAATTCCGCCCACAATGCCCATTCCGCAAAACACCATCAGCAATTTCTGCCAACTTGGTTTCCATCTCAACTTCATTCACATCCTCTTTTAAATTTTGTCGCCTTGGAAGATGTTGCGTGTCAGTATCATTGATAGATCCAGATCCCATATCACAACCTATTTCTTTATTCTGCTCACCTTCACACGCCAGCACAGCACCAGGGTCAGGTCTCACATGTTTTCCTACAGGCTCAACCAGGTCATGATAACCTTGAACTGGAGTCCTATCATCTACTTCCAGAAATTGCACGCAACCAGAGTTATGCTCACACGGAGAAACATTAATGAGTTCTGTGGTTTTACTGATAAAATTTACAGCCCCGACTTCCATGATAGGAATACTTCTAACATTGCAAACAAGATCTCCAGTTACTAAGCATTCAGCTCTAGGACCTGGCACAATGCCAATCTGAGGAGTCCCACCCAAAGTGATAGGACTGCTGTCAGGAGTAACAACATCCAGACTATGTGGATTACGAGATGCTTGCTTCTCAAGTTTCTCTGGCCTGGTATCCATAGGTTCATTATCATTCTTGCTCTTCTTTGCAGGTTCTCCGCATTGTTGATTCTGGTGCCTTGGCTGACGAGGCCTTTTATATCCATTTGGAAAAACAAAAGATGGAAGCTGTCGTCTTCGAACATGAGAAACATACACATCCATCCCAGGTCTCCAAAACATATACATGTTGACCTCTTGCCTGAACTCGTCCACTGTTCCACGTATATCAAACTGCTGACATTCTTTGCCACCAAATCCTTCTGCCCTCTGCAAGCCCATGAAAAAGGCACAATGTAGAAACTGCTTGGAAGTGTCCACATACTCATTTGGTTGAGGGTGGCACATTAACATCCCATTTGTGTCTCGTTCAATCTGAATTATTGGATATAAAAATAAAATAAAAGAAGGAGAACCCTTAAATCATTGTTTATATTAAGTAAAAAAAAATGGAAAACACATTGTAGACACGGAAGGTTTACTCATCAACATCAAATGAACATAAGGATATCTACCTTTAAGGTCAGCTGCCTGAATCGTGACTCCACCCAACCTTTCCATGCCAGTAAATCTTCAGCATCTACCGCTAGTACATCAACTTGAAGGTAGTTTTTATATGCCTCAAAGAACATATATTGCTCAAATAAGGACCTCCAGTGTTGTTTATTTAACTCGATCTCCTGCATAGAAAATTACTTAGCAACAAGATCCTGGGTAAACTGTTCATAAAAAGATTAAGTGTTTTGCTCCCTCACCTGACAGATCGTGTTACCAAACTGGAATTGGTCTATCATAACACGAAGAGTGCTTTGAGAAACATTGTAACTAGAATTCATGCAAGGGTACGCAGGAGTTATTATTGGCATAAGATGATAGCGGTCACGATGATTTTTTCGTGGGTCCCAGACAGGAAAGCCAAGCTCATCTTCTTCTATTGTACAAAGCATTACTGGATTTGGCCAGCGCCATTGTGTATATACTCTAAAAAATCGAGAAACCAACATACTAGGAATAGCATTTGGATAAAGCTGGCACAGGCGTGCAACCAGAAGTGCTAAGTTTACACCACCAAGAAATCCAGTAACCTGCTCAATATAACAGAGATTACAAGAGCTATAACCTAAGCATATTGTCAACAGATGTAATATTCAAAAAGACACCTTACATTTGAATAGACCCCACGTTTCTTAGCCCAGTACTTTAAGCATCTTAATGCTGTCCGGAAGTGCTACATTTGCACATAAGATCAGAGATGACTGACATGATTCATTAGTTTATAACAAAAACAACTGGCATACAACGACTTTACCTCGGAATTTGGAACGAGTTTAAGAATCTGATCAGCAACCCTACAACCATTAAGACTGCGGACAGTCTGTTCATCCACGTCACACAGAACAGTAGAGTTGGAGATATCCAGATCCTGTTATAAATTTGACGAGAACTCAGCTCAGTACTCATATATAAATCACGCCTAGATGTGCTAATACGGCAGTCCCACATCTCCATGTTCACTAAGGCTAACAATTTCTAAAAAGAAGTTTCTTTGATATCTCCACCACCCTTGGAGGAAGTCTATGACACTAAATGTGACAACATGCAATACAAACACAAAAAACCCACCAAAAGAAATCCAATATAACATAAAGGTATCATTTAACACCCCCTAAGTTTCAGCCGAAATTGAAAAAGGCTATACTGATGTTACCTGTGGGACAACTAGAAGCGAAATGCTGGCATATAGCAGATCAATTGATATTCCTTTGAACTTAAATTTCATAACCGGAACATGGGCATCCGTAACAGGTTGAAGCTCAGTCACTTCTTCCATTTCAGCCAATATATCACGCAAGATAATGAAGAAATCCTCCTGTAAAATTAACCTGTTAGCAACTAAACCACATACTAGAGGTTTACATCAGTAAGACGTGATTCAATAGTTACCTCTCGGTTAACATAAGATGGGCCAACACACAAAGTATCAATATCAGCCCCAGGTCCATGTACCTGCAAGTAAATATTTCAAAAGACTTCACCTTCAAATACTAGTTATGTGGACACAAATACAAAGCTTCTCTCTTGAATTCAGTAATATTCAAAAGGTTCAACAGAAAATCTATGATCCAACTAAATCATAATATTTCGCCAAACAGAAAAGATGCAATTCAACTTTAAATTTAAACTTAAAAAGCACTTACTCCAAGTCGGTAAGATCCAAAAGTGAAGATAACAGCATTTGCATCCTCCACCATCTGATCTGTATAGCCTCTTTGACGAGTTAACTGTTTCACCCAGTGTTTTACAATCTACACAAGACGTTTTGAGTAACACGTTATGTTAGCTAAAAAAGCTAGTACTGTAAACAAAACTAGACCATCATGAAAGGTACACAGTAAACACCATTATAACCCTATTTAACATCAAAAAACAAAAAGCAGCTAACCCCAAATTCTACATTCCAGTAAAGCAGAGTAAAACATCAAACAACTCTAAGCATTTATCAATACGCTTAATTCACCTGATCAATCCGCACAAGAACTTCCTCTCTCCGCATAGGTTCTTCCTTGCTCTCATAGAGCCCTTCATCAACCAGAAACTTCAAAAAGAAATCAGTCAAAATCACATTGTTACCTGTAATCATCTGAGAAAACAAAAAAAACACAAAGCTACCTTCTCCAGTTCCAGATTACGCTTAACATCAGCAGCACAAGGTCCAGCAATAGAAAGTGGCTTCGTGATTCCATAGCTCTTAAGAGCTTTTACAACCGGTGGAGAGGAACCATCGTCGGTGCGTTGTTGAGTACTACTCACCATGACAAAACAAGCTCTAAGCGATCATCAAGGAGAAGAGTAGATGTATCGTGACCTGATTAAGCACATAGATCATGATCGTATCGGAATCTAACGGAAGAAGGAGTCATGGCGGAAGGAGAAAGGAGGAAAAAAGTGAGAGAGAGAAGGAGCGAGAAAAGCTCGAAAACCCTAAATCGATGGATAGGGAAAGCTTTTCGACTAGAAAAATCAAAGGAGAGTCAAAGAAAGAGGAAAGAAGTATCAAACGGATTAAAATCGATTTTGACTTGTTCAAAGGTGAGAGGAGGAGAGATGGAGAAAGCTTTAAGGGACACGAGAAAGTGAGAGAAGAGAACGTTCATTCGTGTATTGTGGTTAGTAACTGGTTTTAGATATTTAATTTGATTTGTTAATTTTTTTTAAATGATTAGTAAAAATTATTAAGCTTTTTCAATGTTTAAAAAAAAAGATTTGAATTTTAAAATATATTAGTATAAATTATTTGAGTTTTAAATAGTTTTGAAGTTGAGAAATATAGGCCATGAATGTTTTGTAGTTTTTAAATGGGTTTTAACTTTTGGTTTTTGGTTTTTGGCTTTTGGTTTTTGATTTTTTAGTTTTTGATTTTTGCTGTAGATTTTATTGTTAGAAAGCTGAAAAAAATAGTTTTTAGTTTTTATGAAGGAATTGAGCAAATTTCACAAAATCTGGTTTCCCTAAATTTAAGGAAATCTACTTTTATAAGAATCGTGAATGGCAATTTTTCTGGTTTTTTAGAATCAAAAGCCAAAAACCAATCAAAAAACTGCAGCCATTCAATGCCATAAAGTTTAGTCCTTAAATATCCGAATCGAAACAGAACCAAAACCGGCTAAATAATTGAATATATCTTAAATTTCAGAAATAAAAGAACCGGAATTTTGTCCCAGAAAAAAAAAGAAAAAAAAAAGAACCGGAACAAAACTAATACCGAATCAAAAACCGAATACTTTCACATCCTTTAACACAAAAACAAATATTCATACTGATTTTAAAATCAATGGAGTTTTTAAACATTTTTCAGATTTCTTATTCAACAAAAATGTTTGGGCTAATTTGTAACACAAGACTCGCCACACGGTCTGGTCAACGTGTTGATTTCACAGTTTGGTCGAAAACCGCAATCTTTTAAAAAATCAAATAACGAACACAACCAACATTACAAAAATTACTATGTGATTGTTTGTATGTTTGTCGATTGATATTGTGAGTCTGTGACATGGTAGGATGATAGAAAGACTTTACCATGATGTATGATATGATATGATTTGGGATGATGTGATGGACGAGTTTGAGATTAGTTTAATGTCTAGTTCGGTTTGTGAACCCGGTCGGTTTTGTTTCTCCATGGTTTAGTTTGGTTAGTTGTAAATGGATTGAGCCCAAATGGGATTTGTATGGGTCTAATCCGGAAATAACCATTTGGGCCTATATTTTATAAATTGCAAGCCTTTTACCAAAAAAAAAATAAAAAATTGTTTAATGTCGTGTGATTAGATGAATCAAAGATTGGTTCGTGCCATGCTAAGCTGATGAGATATCGGTTTAACGTTATTATTAATGATTTTGTATATGAGAATAATGTAAAGAATATGGAATTATACAAAAGATCAATGAATAAGAACTTATAGAGGTTCACATCAGATCCACGAACTTATAGAATTTAGTTTTTTTTTATCATGGATGATTCTATGTTTTCTTTAAGGTTCCCTATCCACTTCCTTGATCATTAAAAAAACTTGAAAAATTTTTTATTCCCAGTTTTTGGTCATGTCTATGAACTCGTGTTTCCTTAAGATGTATTGGTGTAAGATAAGTTCTTATATCAATCTTTTCGTCGCATGGAACCTTCCAGTAGAAAGACAAATACAAATACAAATTAGAAATAACTCAAATAGTGAATAAGAGAAATTAGAAAACTAAATTGAATTGTTATGCAGTCTGAGACGAATTCATACACATGTGGCTGGTTTGGAATCGAGCAAACGCCATTGTGATTTTTTAACGTTCCAAACAAACTTCTTAGACTACTTACAATTGCTTGTTTTAAAAAAAAAAATCAACAGTTTAATAGCTTACAATGGTTTGTTACTTTGTTGAAAAAATAGAGAAGCTGAGGTGGATTCATCAGGTGGATTCATCAGTGTTGAATTAATTCAACCGTTGAATGGGTTAGAAAGTGGGGACAAACATGACATGTGTCATTTACTAATTGGTTGAAATAATTATTATAAATTAAGATATAAATAAATATATGTGTTATTTTTCTATTGGTTGTAGAGATTTTTGTTTTGTTTTTTCCACCAAATTATTGTAGTTCATTTATACTTTAGTAAATTTAATTTAAAATTTATTTTTATTATATGAAAATTTATCATTTTTTGTACTCTATAAAAAGAGACTTGTTTCATTTGATTTGGACACCGGAAAAAAAACTTCATTATGCGTGCTAGATCTGAGTTACGTGATTCAAACGTACATCATGAGTTGCAAGCAGATTTAGTAAAACACATATGGGCAAAATTTGGTAATTAAGTTATGTGTGATTTAAAAGCTTTATGTGTGATTTAAAGCTTTATTGTTTTTGAATTGAATTTATTGTACTAATTAAGTTATTTGTTTTTTATTGTGTGATTTAAAAGCTTGATTGTTTTTGAATTAAGTTGATTGTACTGGTTAAGTTTGTGTGTTTTAATATATCGTGTGTTTATTAATCTATATATATATATAAAGTTAGCTTTTTCTCTCTTCTCATGATGCCACCTAAGCATCCACCTAAGCCACATTTTTGTTTAAACATTAAAATAAATTTAAAACATTCATTTAGTGCATATTTATATTACTTATTTAATTAATAGAAAGTTTATATAAATAAAAATAAATTATGTAAAAAAATGAAATGTTAAAATAAGAAAAACAATACTTTATTTTTTTATTAGTGGTAATAATATAATTCAACTTTCATTTTAAATTGATCATAATTTAATATTTTAAATATGTTACTGAGTTTTAGAATGGAAGTAAAATTTAAATTTATGGTAGACTAAAACAACATTTATGTAATTGTATATATAAAATTATAAAGAGGAAAAATAAAATGAAAGTGAAATATTAGTTTATAACATGATCAAAAAGAAAAAAAATGATATTTCATAAATTGAATCAAATGCTTTTAATCCAAATTTGAGTATTGAAAGATAATAATTAAAGAGAAAATAATTATAATATTTTTGAAAATCAATTAAAAAATAATAAAATATCACAATATGAATAAAAAATCAACGAAACAAAATTATAAACCTCCCGCGCGGAGCGCGGGTCAACTGCTAGTATATTATATTTCATTTTACGTTTTATGTAACTTAATTTTTTTTCATAATGGATATCTATATATTTTGTATATTATATAAAAAAATTAAGAATATGAAATAAGAAACAACCTTTAACTCTTAACTATTTTTATTTAATAATATTAGCGAATCGTTATTAATATATAATCATATAAACAAAAAATATAAATAAAATTAAAATATATGAAATAAAAAAAGTGGGGTCAAGTGTTGAATTTTATTAAACAAAACCATTGTAAAGGTTAAATTAAAATAGGTGTTGAATTATTAGGTGGAAGTGAGAGAAGATGATGTGGAATGAAAAAGGGGGTGTTGAATAAACAAACCAATGTAGATAGTCTTAGGCTCCTCAATGTGTAAGTACAACGAAGTAAAACTATTGTTTAGATTTGAATTCTTTCATGATGCAAAATTACTCATTTTGAAAAAATAACAAATCATTTTAAATTGACCAAAAAACTTTGATTGTGGCTCCTAAAAGAGCAGGTGTATTAATAACAAATGAAATATTTCGGGTTTTTGGAGTAGCTTAAATGATGGCAGTTGTAAATAATATATGTAAATATATATTACTTAAACGATAGGTAAAAAAATTAGAGTAAAATTAGATTGTAAATTGTAAATTTATAGATGCTAATTGTGCAATTTTTGTGAGGAGCATTGTGAGAGTGTCACATCAGCTTATGCTCAAAAAAATGATTCTCTATTAATATATTGAGATATTCATGATGATGCAAATACTGCATAAGATTAACTTATAATTGACTAACTTACTGAGTTTTTTTTAATAGTTTGAAAACATAATTTTTAGAACTAGTTTATATAACTTACATTTTTTTTTCTGAATTTTGTTCTTTATAATTAATTTATATAATTTATTATCAATAATTATTTAATACGAAACAAGATCATAATCAGAAGCAAGTTTGCAAATCCACAAAGGCAGAATACTATGTTTGTTGCACCATTCTTCTTCTTAAGTGTCGAATCCAGTACTATGAAGATTTTAAAAGTAATTGTACCCCCAATGGATTTCTTTACAACAAGGGAGTTTGTGTTCTCTGGACCGGCAATCTCATAATTATCTATATGATACTCACGAAAGTTAATCAATAATTTTTTTTTTGTTAATCAATAATTATGTTATAGAAGAAGTGTATGTTTGGACGAGAGGAATTTTTTTTTAATTATGTTGTTTATTTAAGACCTAAGACAATATGTTTAAACTTTAATGTCTTATGATTAGTTTTTTCTTCTTCTTTAAAGTTATCATGGGGAGTAAGACTAAGTACTAATAAAATTTAACTAGATATGTTTTAGCATTCTTTTTCTTTATCATTCAGATTGTGTTTTAAATATATGTATAATGAGTCAAATTAATCAATTCAAAAGTAAAAAAAAAAAACAGAAAAAGAAAATGATAGGTAAGGAGAAAGTTGTTGGTTTACAAAAAAAAATAAGTATGGAAAAAGTTGTCATCAAAATAAAGTATTGATTTGGGTCATGAACCAATATTACACAATATTCATGATGATGCAAATATTTCATAAGATTAACTTACAATTGACTAACTTATTAAGTATTTTGTTCTATTTTGAAACTGTTTTTTTTAGAACTAGTTTATATAATTTTTAATTAATCTCTATATTAGTAAAAGAGGAGTACATTTAGCATTTCCGGGTCGGGTTTTTTTTTTAAATAACCCGAAATCTAATTGTTGGATCCTCAACGAAACGGGTTAACCAACGTATACGGATTTTGCCACATGCCAAATTAATTGCAACTTATTTGTTTAAAAACGAAATATTTGAAAACCTTTGCAATCAAGTTAGGCGGATCATATTTGGAAATTCTATAAACTAGGATATAACAATAAATAGGTAAGATTAGAATTACTTGTGCGTATATTTCCAAATGACAACCAAAAATCTCCAA